AATCAAGGCCAGCTTCAAGAGTAGGCATGTCTGGATACCTCCCAAGGGCCTGCACCACAGCAGGCCCAAGTGGCAAAAGGCACCTGGAGTTATTTTTCATTTTCACCACTTCTTCAGACGGTCTGTTCCAGACACCAGGCTGCTAAGAAGAAGAAGCAGTAAATGTCACTGCCTTCCTGTTTACTGGCACTGTGCTTGTCAAGCAAGCAAATGGCAGCACTGTTGAGAAAGAGGGTAAGGAAGGATTGCAGCTGGTGACAATGGTGTGGAGTGGATAGACTCACTGAAGGAGCAAGCCCATTGTGTGCCTCAGCAAAGGCCCCTCAAAAATCTGCAGCTGATATTGCTTGTAGGAAATGGTCTTATGTCATGATGCCAACTTGAGGGTTTACTTAGGAACAGAATCCTATCAAGTTGAACCCCATCACAATTAACTCTGATCTTGCTTTTTCCTGGAAGGAGAGGGACAGAAACTAGTTGGGTATGTGAACAGACGACTGCCTTATACTGGTCCATCTAGCTCTCTATTAGCAACTCTCAGCAACTTTTGGGCAGAGGTCTTCCCCATCACCTAATACCTGGGGTCATGATAACTGAAAATGTCAGGAACTGGATTTGGAAGTTGAAAAAGCCCTTCTGTTACTGAGCTGTGCTGTTTCTTCAATATTTGTTTCCACTGCTGAGAAACTTATTGAATTGTAGCTCTCCATATTTGATAATGGCCTGCTTAGCAGTCCTGCTTGTAGTATTTGCTTCCAGCTGCTCTCTTGTTTTCTTTTGGTTATTGTCTTCCATACTAACAGGTGAAAAGAACTGGGTGGCATAGAAATAAGTAAGTAAGTAAATAGCCCAGGTTGTTTTACCGGAAGCCTCCTTGCCTTGCATGGAATTTTGTAAATCCCAAGATTTACAGGGTTTGTTTGTAAGGGGAATATGTTATAATAGAATAGATTTGGAAGGAATTTTCAAGGTCTGCAACAGCATCCTGATTGTTTAATACTTCCAGCAGAGGAGAGTCCACCATCTTCTGTGGCAGTCTGTTCCATTGTTAACAACTCACACCATTAGGAAGTTTCTCCTAAAGTTTTTCCAAAATGTGCTTGCTTGAAATTTCTTTTCACAGTCTTTCTTTTTGGGAAAACAAAGTACATTACATCTTAAGTACAATTTTGTAAATATACCTCTCTTCATTAGTGGTATAGGCCTTTTTGTATTTTGTACTGAATAATGCATGAAGAGAGGAGCTGCCCCATCTCCAACATCCATTGTTCCTCTGTAAGTAGAGCATACACTCGTACGAGCTGTAAACAAGAAGGACCAACATTTTGTTTGATGCCAGATTGGTGGGTGGCCAGAGCCTCTGCAAGCACAGTTTGCTGTCCATCAAATGAATCTACACACTTCCTGAATGAGTGAAAAAGGTGTATATGTTTCTTCCAAGGATTTTCTATATCCTTAAGAAGGAACCCAAGATTATCTTATTAGGTTTCTGATATCCTGCACAAAGTATACCCTATGCTCAATTTCATCAGCTTTATGTCCTCTCGATAATTTGGACCATCTCCTATCAGCTGAAACCGTCATAACTAATTGTTGTGCAAAATGTCTGGAGGGCACCAGGTTGCTGGTTGCACTCTAGCTTTCTCAGTTTGAGATGCAGAAGGATAGCACAGATACTTTTGTTGCTTTGGGTAGTTGTTTCAAGGAAGTCAGAATTCTCCAGTCTAGAATATTTGGCAATGTCTTTGTGAATGACGTGCGTGAGTGCTGGGGAGCTGGTGGAACAGGGATCTGGTGGTGCAGCGGAGAAGAACAAATGTATTCTGACAATGTATGTGAAGATTAAAATGTGAAAAGAATGTGGCTTCAGCTATCCTTCATTAGATTAACAATGTCCATATGAATAATCATCTTAAGGCTGTGTTTATCATGCATGTTAAGAAGAACTTGACCCCCAACGGTGTTGGCTGTAGCCAAAAGGGGTTGAAAGTCACAAGAGACCACAGCACTGCAGTGTGAGAAAAATGTGTTAATGAGGCTTTCCCTGGAAGGCACAGGAATGCTGTGCAAAGAAGTTCTTAATTCAATCCTTTTCTCCACACTTGATCTCAAGACTTACTGCAGTTTAAAATGTTACGACAAGTTTGTTGGTCTCCTCCTTTATCGGTCAAACCAGACTATTCTGAAAGCTCTGCTTGATGGAGAAGTGTTCGGATAGAGGGTATTGTTATTCTCTTGCATGTGTTGGAGCTATGAGTTAACTTGCAGTTTCTGGAAAGGAGTTTTTTTTTTTTTTAATGACTGGCAAGCAGGCAAAGTCTGTGAATTCCTCTTTGTTTACTTGGTGCTTGGATACATTCCGACCCAATGGGCTGTAAAGAAGATTTGTATGGCTTGGAGTCAATGTGCTGCCTTTGTTGCTAAGTGACAGGTTTTACAGACCTGAAAATCCTGCCCGTCACCTGATATTGCTGATAGTGAAAATCCAAGTATTTGCATCTTGAAAATGAGTAACAGCCATGCAAAGAGATACATGAAACAAGGTACTGGCCTATAGGAGGTTTCTCTAGAGTGTTGTTGCTAATGGTTGCACTGTTGTACAGTGGCTGTGGTCTTACCTGGCAGGTATGTCCCAGAAGGTGGTGCCAAAGGACTGATAGTCAACTTCTGGTGTGTATATGTGTGTGTGTGTGTGCGTGGGGGGGGGGGTTTCTACAGGATTTTTATCCTGCTGGGGGATTTGGAATGGAGAGTCATCAATATGCAGATGATGCCCAGTTGTTTCTTTCCTTTTCTTTTGTTGCCAAAGAATCTGTGAAGCTCCTAAATAATTGTCTCAAGACAGTCTGGACCAGACAAGACAGGGACACTTTAGGTGAGTAGGACAGTTGATCTGGGTTTGGAGTTATGGCTTAGGCTGGATGACGTTGCACTTCTCCTGAAGGGTCAGGTGCACACCTTTGGAAGGCTCCTGGAAGCAGCCTTGTTCTGGATGGTTGAGGAGTGTATGTGCTCTGCATTGACTTGTCTGTTTCGCTCTTTCCTAGCTCACATAGGCATGGTTACTGTTACCCATAGCCTGCACACATCAATCTTTTCAATAAGGTTTTATGGTATTTTATTCTATTGTATTGTATTGTTTTAATGTACCATTGTAAACTTCCCAGAGAGCTTTGACTATGGGGTGCTATAGAAATGAAATAATAGTAGTAGTAATAATAATAATAATAAGTTCAACCATGGTGACACATGTATGGTTGTCCTTGAAAAGTGATCAGAAATTCCTCCTGGTGGAAATTGCCGTAGGAAGGATTTCTAGAATTCATTCCTTGGAACACTAGGAAGTTTTTTTTATAGGACCTGAAAATTCACACTATAATTCACTATATCTACTTTTATTTTCATCACATAATTGAGATCAGAGCACTATATGAACATTTCCTCCCCCACTCCCATTTTTGGTACCCACCCTCTAGGTGGCATTGAGGTATAGTGGAATAGCTTGGATTTACTACAGGAAAATGTGCTTTCTCTCACTTTAACAATAAAAAGCCACATTTTTCCTGTTCTTAAAATAAAATAAAATGCAGAACTCAGAAATAAACAAAAGCCTCACCAAAAGACACAGAAGCCAAATTGGAGGTTTATGCTGTCATAAATATGATTAGGGAATAATGAATGCAAAATAAATGTCTTGTGCAGAAAAATGCCCCTCCTTCCTTCGTTGTAGTTCCTGGGCACAATTTAAGAAGCCAGTTTATACCAAGTTTAACACCTGAGGCCTTGGTCTCATGTCCTGCTTCTGCAGGGAAGCACTTCTTGGGGCTTCAAGGGCGAATCTTTTTTTCTAGCTGCCTCTGTGAACCTCCCTCCTGCGAGATGTGCACCCAGCCCCTCCCTCTTTTGTTTCAGGAGATGGCAAATATATATTTTAATTTGGAAGCTGCCTTGGGGCCCTTTGGCAAAAAGCAGTTACTTGCTACAATAGAATGTGAACATGATCACAGCACTACAACGGCTCCTGAGATTTCTTTCTGCGACTTACAGGAAGGCCGTGTATCTTATTTTACAGAGGACAGCCACCTATTTGATGACTGCTTTACAGACAATAAAAAGCAAACTTTGAAAAGGGGCAGGCGATCCTTGAAGTTCCCATCAACACTTAGCACACAGACATTAGTGTCACTATTTTGTCTGGTATAGTAAGAAGTATGCTATTTCTCCTCAAATAATAACATTTTTTTTCAGTTTTCGTTTAGAGATCTAGATTGGTATATGGAATTTCTGTGCTAGTTTGAGTCTGTTTTTCTACTCCTTTCCCTTTCACTTTCCCTTCTTTAAGCAGGTAACACATTTCCTGGTTTTTGGCAGTGCATAAGTGGGTGCCCTAGTGAAGTACAAACACTGCCATGGACTGTGAACCTTCAAAGGAATATGAAACCAGGTCTCTCTGATAAGGACTGCTTGGGAAAAACCAGTGCTTATTTAGTGACCTGTTTCCCTCTGCTACTTATTTTTAATTGAGTTATTAGAGAATAGCTGCACTTCTTGTCTCCCCTAATATTGCAGGAAAATGGAAAGAAGGTTTGTGAGCTAGAATAGAAACAATGAAAGCAGGAATGACCCTCTGTAGTTCCTGGTAGTACAATGTCAGCCAGAGATGTCTTTTGTTCTCTTTGTTTTCCGAAGTTTGATTGGATAATGACACTGAAGACACATTGTTTAGCATGACTTGCTTGTCTGAATCATTTTAATTCAGTTTGTTAAGAAAAATAGACACCACTTCTTTTTCTTCTCAAATGTAAAGGATTATAATCCTCCAGGGTTGTTTCCTGATTTAGGAAGCTTCTTGATCATGTCTGATGGCTAAAAATAAGTAAAAAAAATGATTCCAATTACCATAGCCTGAGAAACAGGTCTCTGTTAGTATGAGTAATATCCATTATTTATTAAACAAAAAGGCATTTATTTATCATATTTTTCTACTTTTTTCCTGCAAGGAAGCCAAGGGGGCTTATATAATCTTCTATCTTGGCCTCATAACAGCCCTATGAGGAAGGTTAGGCTGAGAGTAAGTAATAATCGTACATTATAATGTATCATTTTTGTATTACTTGTCCTGGAAATTTGAATATAACATTCTTTTTACACTGCAAATTTCATTTATTTAAATTGTTGGTGCAATTTAATTAAACATGCAATGGAAATGGAAAAAGAAACAAAACAGAACCCACAAACAAAAAACTCACCCTCAAAATTCCTTAACAGAAACAGTATCAAAAATAGGTAGTTTCTCACGCCCCAGTCAGTATCTAACTAACTCACCTGAACTGTGGAGTGGTTAGGAACATGGGGAATATCTCCAAGGCTTCTTCCAATCTCGTGAACAAACCATGGCATTTCACAATGTATGCAAAATGTTTGTGGCACTGTAAAGTGTAAGACACAGTCACTGACAGTCAGTGTGTCTTACACTTTACAGTGCCGCAATCTCACTAGCTGACTGGAGTATTTTTGTCATTCTCAAGAATATGATCTTCTCCAAGAAATGAAGTCCCTTCCTTGCTGGAAATCTCTATCCAGTCTTTTCTTCTTTGCTCCATGGAACAGCAATCAGCAGCATATAGTAATTTCCACCTTTCTCTTTGTCTGAGGTTGTTCCAGCCCCTGTGCCACTGGTTGTTCGGTAAAACTGTATTTGTAGAAAGTCTCATCTACAGTATAGAGAATTTTTGTGAAAGTTGCTTTTGAAAGGGCAAGCCTGAATTCATTCCAGTGGGAAAATGCCAGAGTAATTTGTATCATTCACTAGTTGGTCATGTCACTTTTATTCTTTTGCTTTGAGTAGATCACTGCCCTAAACCAGTGTTTTCCTTTCATGTAAAGCAGAGTGACAGAACACATTGACAAATTGGAGGGTGTTCATAGACAAGCTGAAGAAATAATGAAGGAATGGAGCTGCAAAGCTAGAAGGCAAGGATGAAAGGGTGGAGGATCATCAGAGTGACCAGGATTTTTCCAAGGGTTTGTGTGTTTGTCTGTGAAGAGGGGGAAAAAGCCATGCCCCATAGATCATCTGAAAGGGACCATCTTGTTCTGAAATCCAGTAAGTACTGCTGTGCTTCAATAAAATAGAAGTGACATGATTTGCTGGTGTTGTCTGTGTGGAATGCAGATGAACTGAATTGTGGAACTGAAGGGATGCTTGAGGCACTTATGAGATTCCATTTCATCCCATGAAACTCTAGCTGGAACCCCTTAAAAGTTGTCCCTCATTGCTTGGGGCAGGAAGCAACTATGGATGAAACAATTTCTGGTATATGTCTACATTATCGACATCCTGCCTACTCTGGGAAGCTTTAAAAAACCATAAATAAATAGATAGATAGATAGATAGATAGATAGATAGATAGATAGCAAGCTAAGCTAAGCTAAGCTAAGCTAAGCTAAGCTAAGCTAAGCTAAGCAGAGTCAGGCCTGGTTAGAATCTGGATCGGTGACTTGAGTGTATGATTCTATGATTATTGTTGTAAACTGCCAGAGTGCTTTGGTTATGGGTGATATAGAAATGTTAATAATAATAATACATTCCTACTCAAGCATTGGGACTGCAGGTGGCGCAGATGGGGTGAGCTCCCATGCTCCGTCCCAGTTCCTGCCAATCTTGCAGTTCGAAAGCATGCAAATGTAAGTAGATAAAAAGGTACCACTTCAGTGGGCAGGTAACAGCGTCCCGTGCACTTCAGTGTTTGGCCATGCTGGCCACATGACCATGGAAACTGTCCATGGACAAACACTGGCTCCCTCGGCTAGGAAACAGAGATGAGCACCATCCCCAAAAGTGAGACATGACTGGACTTTAATGTCATGGGGAAACCTTTACACTCAAGCATTGGCTTTCCTCAACACCAAAACAGTAGGCGAAAAATTTATGGGACTCTGTTTTGTCTCATGTTCAGTCAAGACACCCTACTTTATATCAATGCCTACCCTTGAAATGCAATCTTGCTAAATTTTCTCTTTATGTGGTAAAGTTTAACACTTGCTCACCCTGCACTCCTGCTTTGTCACTAGTGAATAGCAAATTATGGAAAACAGGAATGAGGTGCTGGAGAAGCTCACCTGTCCTACTGATAAGACACAAATCAGTGTCAATGGTAAGAAGGGGTGTGACATGCAAATGAAAGATGGCTGGGTATCATCTTAATGGCCAGGAAATGATCCTCTTGATCATCTATATTGGCTGAAGCCCCAAGAGGCATGAAGACTATTCATTTGAATGTGCTGGCATGTCCTAGACACATAGCAAGATTGCATTTTACAGTACTTCCTACTTCAGGTACTTCAAGAGGGGTGATGAACTGCTTTCTTACCATGTGGCTGTGATACATCAAGGGCCTTTAAACATAAAAAAGTCAGCACAAACATTTGTGTATGCACAAAAATTTGTAGGGATTCTTGCATATGATTTCCTTTAATATATGTGTTTGCAAGCCTTTCCTCTAATATGCTTGCTTTTGTAAGGTATTTCTCTCAATGCGCACATTTTGTATGCATTTTATTGCACATAAAATTGGAGAAAAATAGAATCTGAATGATAATTGGGTTCCAGTTCATGTTCTGGAAGTGCAGATTACACTGATTGATATTAAAATGTGAACCAGGCTAATATTGACAAATGATATTGCACTTAGTATCTTTGGCACTGGTATGAACTACTTTTAATCCTTTGATTACAAGCAGTCCCCAAGAGGACCTACTTTTACTGCTCCACTGAGCCATCAATCTGCTGGATTATTTTAGAAGAGTTACTTTTTTGTTCCATTTTTGTTTCTGCAGAAGCCAAATATCCACAGTTGTTTCTTTTTCGCTTGTTGTTTCATAATAAACAGGATAACTGTTGCAAAATGTGGTACATTCTAAGTCTTTTGTTAGCTATCATAATAGCAGGTACTATAACTCTAGGACATCCAACGAAGCATTACTCAAACCAGTAATACGGGGTGGGAAATTTTTCTTCTGTGCTATTTTTTTCCATGGAAATCTTTCCATACTACTTATCTCTGCATTTATTCATAGTTGTCTGTGCTATTGCAATCAGTTAAATGGGCTAAATATAGCATAAAGAGACCTTAGTGCTCAGTTGTACAAGGAGAAACCAACAAATAAGGTGTGGTAACTCCTTCCAAGGTACAATTCAGTGGGTTTCTGGCTGGGACTGGAGCAGACTTATTTGGTAACATTCTTCCATAACAAACTGAAGGAAAACTGAAATCAAAGCTAAGGCTGTGATTATGTTTTCTTTCACTTAAGAACATGTGAAAAACTGTGTTGGATAAGGCCAAGAGTCCATTAGTCCAACATTCTGTTTGCACAGCGGCCGACCAGTTGCCCAGATGAAATTCACAGGCTGGATATGATTGAAACCCTCCTGCCCAAGTTCCCTGGCCTATGACCACCTCCATCTTTTAGTGAAATAGAATGTTCAGCTATTTGTTGTAAATCAGATTTTTCTCAACTTGAAACGGAACTGATCAGCAGTGCAGAGTGAGTGAAGCTGAAGGTGCGACAGTGACTTCAGCAAAAGAAAATTAAACTGTTGATCTATGATATAGCAGCATGCATTGGATATATATCTTAAAGACAGGGTGTTGTTTCAGGTTTAATCCTTTTCATTAAATGTGAACAAACTTCATAAGGAAATATGTGACAATGCTTTTATATGTATACAAAGTTCCAATAAAATAATATGCATGTAAAGCTTTGAATAAATTTGAAGATAAAATTTAAACTATATTATGTGGTTAATTTAATTTCCCCCTAGGCAAATATTTCAGTTCAAGTATTTTGTAGCTATTGGGAAAACTACACTATATTAACACTGCACATAAAATTGACACGGATTACATTTTAATTTCTGTTTATGATGTATGAATGTCTGTGTACTTATTGAAAGATAATATGTGTTGGGGTGTAAAATTGAATCAAGCATGCCAAATCATGTAATACTATTTAGAGCACTGAAAAGTTTTCCCAGTTCTACTTTTTCCCAAAAACCTGTTGACTGAAACCGCTGATCATGGTGGCTCTGAGTGCCAGTGTGATGGTGAGAGTGTCGCACTGCGGTTCTGTCTGGCTTCTAGTCCCCACTCAGCCATGAAGCTCACTGGGTAACTCTGGGCCAGTCACAGAACCTTAGCCCTACCTATCTACCAGTGTTGTGAGGATAAAATGGAGCTATGTAAGCCACCTTGGGTTTCTCACATGAGGAATAAAGTTGGGATATAAACGCAATGTAATGATAAGAATAAAAATAAGAATAAACCTCCAATATTAGGTGTGGCATGTCTCTGAATGCCTTTCAATGGAAAGCAAAAGCAAGAGAGGTCCATTGCCTTCCTGTCCTACTGGCAGCTGGGTGGTCACTGTGGGAAACTGGTAGACAAAGAGTCCTTTCATCTGATCCATTATGCCTCTTCTGTTCTAGGGCAGGGGAGTTAAACTTTCTAGTTCTAGGGCGGTCGCCACTGTTTGGGGCCATTCGGGGCCATGCGGGGGCTGGGCGGGCCAGGGAATTGTTAGTTGGCCAGCTGGTGGGAATTGTAATTTGTGTTGAGGGGTTGAGGGGGTGGTTTTAAGGGTTTTTAACATGTTTTTAGTCTAATTTTAATGGATTCATTTCTGGCTTTGGTTATGGGGTTGCCTGGGGAGTGCGTGGGTGCTGCCATTGGGGTGGTTGTGGGCAATGGACGTTATGGCATTGCAGGGGTCTAATGAGGCCGCGTAGAAGAAGGAGGAACAGATGGTTGACACCTGTTCCCTCTTCTGGTTATTCCCCCAGTCGGAGGGTTCCACGTAGGCTTGTCAACTGCCCCCCGGGCCTGTCGGTGCTGTTGCTTAATGCCAGATCAGTCCATAATAAATCATCACTCATCCATGACTTGATTGTGGATGAGGGGGCCAACCTGGCTTGCATCACAGAGACCTGGGTGGGAGTGGGGGATGTCTCCTTCTCTCAACTGTTCCCGCCCGGGTATCTGGTCCAGCACTGACCATGCCTGGAGGGGAAGGGAGGGGAGGGGGGTCGCTTTGGTTTATTGAACCTCTATTTCCCTCACAGGGCTTCCTGTTCTCTCGAGGCTGGGTCTAGAGCGCCTCTACTTGGTGTTGGGCGACCAAGACAGATTGGGGATTCTGTTGGTGTACCGTGAACCCTTCTGCCCAACAGACTCCCTGCCTAAGCTGACGGAGATCGTCTCGAACCTGGTGTTGAAGACTCCCAGGATGTTGGTCCTGAGGGACTTCAATCTCCATGCCGAGACGGTTCTAACTGGGGCAGCTCAGGACTTCATGGCCTCCATGGCGGTCAAGGGGCTGTCTCAACATGTCAGTGGCCTGACCCATGAATGTGGACATACTCTGGACCTGGTTTTCTTGACAGGGCAGGAAGAGGGGGATCTGAGGGTGAGGAACTTGTGTCTGACACCCCTGTCATGGTCAGAACACTTCCTCGTGAGGTTTGAGTTCAAGAGCAGCCTTTCCCTCTGTAAGGGAGCGGACCTGATTGTGTTGGTCCGCCCCTGGATCCGGATGGATCCGGATGGATTCCTGAAGACCCTGGGGGAATTCCCGGTTGATAAGGCTGGTGCTCCTGTCAATGCCCTGGTCAAACTGTGGAATGGGGAAATGACCAGGGCTATTGACATGATCGCTCCTAAGCGTCCTCTCCCGCCTGGCAGAGCCCATTCATCACCCTGGTATACACCTGAACTACGGACAATGAAGTGGGTTGGGAGACGTCTAGAGCATAGGTGGAGGAAATCATGGAATGAATCTGAACGAACACACTTGAGAGCTCATTATCGAGCTTATGCTGTGGTGGTGAGGGAGGCGAAAAAGAAATTCTTCTCTGTTTCCATTGCCTCCTCACAATGCCGTCCAGCAGAGCTCTCTCAGGTGGTACAAGGGCTGGTTCATCCAGGCCCCAAAAAAGACTGTACCACCCTCGACGGCCCGCTGTGATGACTTTGCCAAGCATTTTAAGGAGAAAATTGCTCAGATTTGTCACGAGCTGGACTCCACTAATGACTCAGAGCTTTCTGGGGA